CATACTACTTTACTGCTAACTCTGCTATACTGGACTATATTTTTGGTATGTTACAACAGCACAAAACTACACAATACTTAACTCAAATACTTTTTGCCATACTACCTTATACCACACAGTACCACACTACACTTGAATGGACTGCAGTGGACAGGGTAGGACTGAATAACACTATACTACATTTCATCAGACTATGCTTTAAAGACTACAACACATTATGGTGCAAAATACTACTTTGTACTACACTAAGCTACCCTTGACTTCACAACAATGCACTACACTGCAGAGGACTTAACTAGATTACACAGTACTAGACATAAATTTACTGCACTGAGGGGTACAACAATGTCCTACACCACACTGCACACAAATGCAGTATGCAGTGCAGTACTATGCTATGCTATTCTGCATTACACATACAACACTACACAGAACCTTACTATTGCACTTTGGTAAGCTACAATGCACTACACTATACTACATTACAACATACTACACAACACTGCACTACACCATATACTGTAACACTTTGCTATAATACAGTATACTCACTACATCACACTAAACTTTGCTGCACTACAAAAAACGACTGCGCGATACTGCTCTCCACTGAGCAATAATGCAGTACCCTGCATGATATTGTATCGCACCACATGTCACTTTACTGCACTTCACTGTAATGTACTTAGCAGAACTACAACAGTGTAATTATGCAGGTTACAGGCGTTCACTGTGAAGGCCTAGCTCTGCTGAAGGCCGGCCGTTATAGTTCAGTCCTTACTTCATGGCTTATGTACAGAGAGTGAAGACTTTTTGGGACTAATATAAAAACTGAGTGCTAACTTCTCCTCCTGTAATAACTAGGAGAGTAATTATTTGTTATATGTATATGGATGTCTTTCATTTTTTTATATAATGCATAGCTTATAATAATTTAGTTTAATTGTAGAGTAATTAAGTTTTAGTTTTGGCTTCAGGCTCAATTTTGTGTTTGCTTTCTGTTCAGTGTGCAGATGAAAAGTAATGGAGTTGCAGCAGGTTTAAAGTGATGTGGGACGCTGTTTGAAGGTACTAATGAGGTGCTAACATCAAGTAATTTCTTTGTCAAATCCGGAATATTTTAAGACCTATTTATGCAATTAAGCTACATGTTAAATATATTCATACAGTTATTTCACACCACTGCAGACACACATGTTGTTTAGAGAGCAGTTTTCAAGTACCGTAAGATGTTTTTACATCCTAATTGTACACATCTCACCTGAAGCTTAGCAGATTATGCTTTGATGAAATATTTATGCAAGTAGCGTATTTATATTGCAGTTTATCTGAATTCAGAGGGTGTGTCAAAATTAACTTTTGGCTTTTTCTTGTCCATAATGAGGGGCAAAGGTCCTTGTTCTAGTGCTGTGAATGACTCATAGGCATTGCAGCTCATGTGCTGTACCACATTATTATGTTCCAACTGAAACAAATTTGTTAAATAGAAAAATACCAGAAATGGCAACAAGACCAGTGAACCATTACTCTGAGCTGATACTACCACCTGCAGAAAGAGTTTCAAACTCAGTTTGGACTCTGATTCGGCTCTTCCTGTTATGTAGGAGTTGGAAAAATGTCAGGGTTGTTAGTTTTCACAGTTTCACATAATTCTATTCTGGAACAAAATGTTTTGGCCAGATTTTTTTTTTTTTTTGCAGTCACAATATGAAATTATTCAGCCTACATGTCCACTCTGGGCCATGGGTAGTTGAGATTCAAGAGTAGAAGGTGGTCACATCATACAGTCACAAGTTCAACCTGAAATTATTCTGTGGGTCACATGCGATGTGTAGGAAACAAATACGATGCACTTTGAATGTGTGTCCTAACTTTTGCTCACTTTGCTCATGCACGTGCTGGCAGGTAAAGCTTGACTGTTGTGCCCGTTTCTTGACAGGTGAATATGATTTGCTTCATTTAATTACTGAACCTGGTTAAACTGGTTGAAAGAGACATATCTGATGTTTCCACAACTTAATTTTCACCAAGTATGCTTGTGAAAAGGGCTGTAAATGATCAGGTGCAGACTTTGATGTTTTGTTAGACTAAATTTCACTTTGTCTTTGGTGAAAGGATTGCATGTACTCAAGGTGGCCTAAACAAACTGATGTATTAAAAGCCCCGTATCTTGTATCCCTGAATAAATACTGAAGTCAGCTCAAGAGCCTTGTGATACAACTGACTTGTCATAACATTAGCCTGTCAGTGTTGCACATTTTCCTTGCAATTGTTTCTGCTTGAAAAGAGGCAGACATAATTAATGTTGGCCAAATATACATGATAAAACACGGAGGCTTCCGTTAGATACTCTTCACAAGCTTCTGTGTTGTTGGCCTGTCCTTACCGTCTGTGGCGCAGTAGCTTTTTTAGTTCCATGTGGATATATGGCCCAAGGCCAGGTTGCATGCGTGGTGGCTCAGTAGTCAGCTCCTCAACAGCTAGGCCGTTAAGAGCCAAACACATTCAAAAGGCTTAAAAAAAAAAAGCGTAGCAGTGTGAGTGTCCCTCTGACTGTGTCATTTAAGGACAGGAGAAAGCTTAAATTCACACATAATCCATTAAATTAGCATATTACACATACAGCAGTGTGTAGCACAAGACTTATTTAAGTTTAAAGCCAGACCATGTGCTAAAACTAATTTACCCTTCAGCTCTGTATGACAAATCACCTCATAAAACCACTGCATGAACCGGTCCTGATATGAGAGCTGGACTTGCCTCGACATGTTTGCCTTCAAATTTCCAAAGATATGATAGAAATAATGGGCTGGAAATAATTTCACACTGACCTCAATAGATCTGACTAATGATAAAATGTGCAGAACAGCGAAAAGATTTTTAACACACCCTGTAGACTACAGCAAAACTTGTTTATCTGCACGAGCAGCATGGTGATAGATGTATTTAGGTTTTGTGGTATTTTAACGAATCATCTGTTTAGTAAGACATTTTTCGAGTGTACTAGTCACACTGACTCATATCATTATTGATTTCAAAATTAAATCAGTTTCTAAAATCTAGTCTCTTTTTCCAATGTCTGACATGTAATGTATTGGAGTAGAAAAGATCATTAATTGAACTTAACTGTTATATTTTAAATTCCTCTTGTTTTCCCTTAGTGAATGCTCCCAGTTGCCAGTCTGACCCACACCCTTTTGCACGCTATATAGTAATAACTACATGGAAATATGAAGTACGTCCAGATGTGAATCTTTTTTGGTAAAGTGTTGCACCGTTTGATGTAATTGTTGAAATTCAAATGCCAGGTGTACATAATATTCTACTTCTCAACTATGCCTTAGTTATAATCTGGGAATCTCAGAGCAGGAAAAACATTTAGGTCATATAATTTTTATAATGTTGTTAATATTAAAGTAAAACCTACGGGATATTCATATCATTAGTCAGAATTTTCCTGGAACAAAACAAAAGTAATTTCCAAGGCACACAGATTCTGTGTTCTTTTTTAATTTTTACTCAATTTGTAGGGCTCACTTTTACTTCAGTGCATGTTGGAAGTATAGAGGAAAATAGTAGTCAGCAGAAAGTAGAATCTGTCCAATCCATTATCTGTAATAATTGCAAATAATTCTTTAGTTCTTGATAAATCTTTTACAATATAAACAGACTAGAAATCGCACAACTGTCAACATGTGTTCCTGTTGTTCACTATCTGTTAGTTTGCCTGAAGAAAAAAAGCACATCTTTTCAGTTGGACTACAGTATTTGTCCCACCGTGCAAAAATCTGTGGGCATTTAATTTATTGGCCAACGTTTGTCCTAGCTGCAAATATTGTTGGCACCAGGCTGCATTTGAACTGTTGCTTTCTAGCAAGGTATGTTGTGGTTGGTGATTCATCTGATGACAACCGTGGATTTACCACACGTGTGTTTTATTAAGTTCTATTGTTCAACTCCTCAGGCACATGCTATCTCCTGTGGCATCTGAAGGATGACTTGACCCTAGTGTGGTTCTTGCATTGACACCTGCACTGCTTATTTTTCCCAATTTATAATGTAAGCAAGATAGATGTGCTTCAGACAACGGGTGGTGCATTAGGTCAGCTTTGTGGCCCCGCTGCAGTCGACAGCTGGACAGTGAACACGCACGCACAGTGTGACTTAATGTGCAATCAAGCTGAGTGACAGGTACACAACCACGGCAGGTGTTAAAGTGAGTCCTTTCTGTTCACGGAGAACGCCGACGGCCGACATGGGCACATCCACAGCTGACACTGAAACCACAGATATTAGGGTAATTCTGACAGCTTGTTGTTGAGTGGCAGGATCTTGTCCTGCAGCCAATGGTCAGTTTTACTATAAAAGCCAAATCAATGTGTTTGTTTAGTGAGACAGCAGTCTACACTGTGGCGCAAAGAGCACTGCACTGGTTTCCATTGAAGCAACAATGCAGAAAAACTTTTTTTTCATAATTACAAGTGTGAATGGGATTTTTAGACCATGATAACATTTGTTTTAATCAACGCAAACTCTTTTGTGTCTGTTGTGTTAATTGCCTCATTATATCCAGTGCAAGATATAAAACCTTTTTTTGGACGTTTTTTGGATCATCATTTAACCACACACCTTCTGGTCATGTGATTCCAGCTTAATTTTTTTCATTAACAGCAAAGTTGATTTACCAGCCTGTTGTACATCTTTTTATCATAATAAAATACCCAAACCCCCCAAGTGTAATTTGCGGTAAAGCCACACCTAACTTTTACAGGGTTTAATAATACATCCAGGGTCAGAAGGACAAGGAGAATTCAAGGTTTATTTATCAAAACCTGCTCCTAAATAAACAAACTTACATTTTCACTTTTTTCTTACTAATGCTCACTCGACCTCTCTCACTTTCATTCCCTTTCCCTCACTCTTTCACTCTTTCTGCCCCCTGTGTGTCTCCTTCTGTGTTTTCTTTCTTTCCTCTCTATATGTTTCTCCCTCTCCTTTTCTCTGGAGTGTATTTTTTCTACTTTAATTGCAGTATACGTTAAACTCTTCTCATGATTCATCAAGTTCTACACTAGTACACAATGATTGGAGGAGTGAGGAATCTAAATGTGGACATTTCCTGGTTTCTTTCCAACTTATAAAATTTGAAACCACTTCATTATCAGGTTTCAACCCCCCTGTGGGCCCGCTCCCTCATTTTCTGCTTTTTAGAGCCAAGTGACAAGTGAAGTTGGCAGCTAGTTGAAAAAGGTTTTGTATAAACTAAATAACAGTAAACTGGGTTGTTAATTTAACAGTTTTAATCATGTTTTAATCTGTAAAATGTTCCTTCATTTGTTTTTTCTCTATATTGTCAAGAGTTGCGTTTAAAAACTGTTTAGTCATCAGTGTAAAGTCCGTTATAATTAATTTGACAATTACTGCAGTCATCTTGACGTCCATAGACTAACTTACCGCTGATGGGCTGATGTGACGCGTCTCACTGGAAGTCCTGCATGCAGTGAGGCTGATGTGACGCGTCTCACTGGAAGTTTAAGCCGCCACTAGATGAGGTGTCTTCCCAAATTAATTAATGCATTAATTTTGACAGCCGTGCAGTAAATAATGAGTAACCGTCAGCTGTAGTTGTCAGCAGTTTTGCTAATAGTAAAAATTAAGTGCATTCATTTTGTAACTAAATGCATTTTCCATGACATTTTTAGCATATTTGAGACATAAGTGCTTTTAATATATTTCGAAGCATCCCCTGTTTGGCATGTGAAATATGACATATTTTCTTTTATGTGTTGTCATCCTTAAAAAGTAAAATACGTTTTTCATGTGTATATCCCACAGTAGTGTTTCAATACCACTCTGCATTCGCATCTCTAACCCTTAGTCTAACTCAGACTTCAGTTTTCTACATGTTTGATTTTAACATAATGTTTGAAAATTGAAAACAACATTTTCATCCAAAGTCTTTATTACCATTAAGGTTACACTGATTAAAAAGTGGTGAGAAAAGGTGGATTTGTTTTGCTCGCCTGTACTTGATCACTGCCTAGATACATTTTCTAATATTAGAACATTTCCTTGATTTGCCGGGCTTCTCTGCTGACTGAAGAGCACATGGCCTGAGCAGCAGCCAATCAGAGAGCAGGGTTTGCTTTCCCTCTCTCTAGCAACAGTGAGTTACTTGCTGCCTATTCATTAATTATTTTCCCGTGGTCTTCCTCAGCCGTTGGACTCTGCTGATAGCACTCAGTCCGACTGATATTTCACTGCTCTCTGGTGCTGGCAGCCACTGACAGAATAAAAAAAAAGTCTGAAAACAGGATGGATCCATGGAGGCTGACCTTACCAGCTGCTGCTGATGCTGCCGCTGCTCTGGCTGCTGCTCTGAGCTGTGAGCTCCAACAGCACTAACAAACTAGGACTGTGACAGAGATGACTCTACACTTACCTCCTACGACTTTGTCTGCTTTGGAACTAAATTACAATAAACAAGGATTTCTAAAAACAATCACTTCCTGCACTGAGATTTTTCTCGTACTCCATCTTTATCCTGTTTTTGCTTCTTTTCTGCTCGGCTACTCTGACTGTAAACATAGCAAGTGGAGGAAAAGCACTGAACCCTTTTGCGCTGAGAGGATGGGGGGTGTCAGTTGGAGGCAGGACTTTTTTTCCTCCCTTTCTCCCTCTCCCTGTGTCGGAGGGGAGGCAGGTGGAGGGCGGAAGGAGGGGTTTCAGGGTTGGGGGGGTTGGGTAGGGTGGTGTGAGGATTGCGGGCTGTGGTTGGGTATGCCAGTGCCACGTGTCTAGCCTGGCACCTCTTGCTTCTCGACTGGAAGGATGTTGGACTGAGAGTCTGGCTCAGCCTGTCGGGCTGCTCTCTCTCTCTCTCTCTCTCTCTCTGAACCAAAAGTGTGGTGAGTGTTGCACTCTGCTGCCTCCTGTTATAACGTTAACTTTTACGTCTTTTCGTATAAGGAAAAGTATAATATTCTGATGCACGAAGGTCTGCAGGGAACGTAGGTTTGGAATGCAGTCGAGAATGTTTTAGAACATTATTCAAAAACGCGCACTTTGGTGCGCAAAACGGAGGTGTATTTTTATTTTTTTCTGCTTCACCTGATCTTATTCCAGCATCTGCAATGCATCACTCAAAACACTGTATTCTGTTGTGTTTTTAAAGTGATTGCACAATATTAGGCCTCGCAGTCGAGGCCTATGAATATTTGGATGTGGACGTTTGGGGGAATTGCCCCACATAGCTTTTTTTAGTCCTCACATAAAACACCAAAACTTCCCCCTCTCTGTCTACGTGCTTCTTTTTTACACTTACATCATTCCATCTCGTCTGGAGTGGCAAACATCACAGTTGTCCTCGCTCGGTCCACAGACCAATGATGTCGTACTTAATCTGGGAACCATAATCTCTCCTTTTCTTGCTCTCGGTCTTTTGCACCTCTTATATATTGTACGATTTTTCTGCTCTACAATCCAAATCTGCTAACGATGTTTAAACTTTCCACATTGTAGAGGTTTTAATATTGAATTATTTATTTCTATTTTCTATTTGCCGTCGTACCAATATAATTCAATCCTCTGCTAACATTTTGTAAGGCCCCACAAACATCTCAGTCATAGTCCCTCGATCAACAGACTGACCATATTGGTTGTTGTAGGAAGAATTATACAATCGTATATGTCATATATATATATATATAGTTCAGTATAGGTAGCACTTGTAATGTGGTGGACTTGGTTTCTTAGCTGACTTAGCTGCATTGTTATGCTACATTGACAAAAGCAAGTCAAAAATATAATCTTTGACACAGTGCTGCCTTTTTTTCTTTCTAACATAGGAAAAATGTTTCCAAAGGATTTTTATTTATTGTTTTTTTTTTCTTTTCTTGCCGTACAGCCGCAATATAGCCACAATTTTGGTTATCTCCATTATGAAGATATTTTGGCTGTTATGCAAGACTTTCTGACTGTTCCGAAAATTCTTCGAGTAGTTATGAAATAATGTTCATGCTCTTGAACGAGGTGAAGGGAAATTATTTTTAGAGAAAACTTTTTGTTCTTGTATAAAACTGTGAAAGTTTTTTGTGTGTGAGGATAGAACAGAGGGAATGAAGGCTCCTGTCCAGGGACCCAGTGTGCTGTTGGTTATGACGCAGCAGCATCATCCGATCTCTCTGTTCTAACCGTCGACTGCACAAATGCACAGAGCTGCTGCAGTTCGCCATTTTTTACACCACGCTTTAAGCTCCGCTTTACTACAACTACAACTACAGCAACCTATTTTAACTTATTTCAAATGCATTTCCTTATTTCTTTTAGTTTTGGTTTTGTAATTTTAGTTTTTTCTCCTTCTTTTGTTTGTTTAGGTTTTTATGTCAGTCATAATCCTAGTTCAGAACATGTGGGAGTGTGAGAGAAACGAAGAGGATTAAACATCATCCCACTCGGCTGCTCATCTTCCAATCAGACTACTATCTGACAGTAGAAGGCCAGCAACACAAGCCAGGACCTTCACCTGGCAACATCGCATTCCCTGCTGCTCCTACAGCACTCAGCCAGCAAGTTTCCGCTGCTTAAAAGAGCATGTTGCCATCGCTCTCCCTCTGCTCCATCATCTGGTTGAACCGGGGAATCAAGCTGAGGAAACTGCACCTGTCCACCAACACCGGTCAGATCTGATACCGCTGCGCCATCAACACTACGGCAGCAGAACAATATCGTGTTAAGTGAAAATGCTTCTAAGCTTTGGGTGACTGTTCTTCCCATTGTTCCCTCTCCATTCCCCTAAATTTAACTAATATCCACCGCCTAATTTCAGTGACTTAGAAACTTTCTTGATACCAAGGAGGTTTTTTCTTATCTTTTTGTTTTTGCTGTGGGACTCGACCTGCGCCATTCCCACCCTCCATTTTGAGTTTTGTTACCAAACAAAATGGCAGCAGAGGATTTTCAGTACCGTGCTCTCTACTCATTCACCAAGGACCAGGAGGAGGACTTGGACCTGCAACCTGGTGATCTCCTCCTAGTCAGCAAGGCCACTCTGTCGTCCACTGAGAACTACCAGGAGGGATGCGAGGAGCGACCAGAGTGTCTGGGCTGGCTCCTCGGGTACAACGAGCGCACTAAGCAAAGAGGTGACTTCCCAGGGACCTATGTTGAATACGTTGGCCCAGTCAAACCAGTGCTCCCATCTAGTCAACCTAGGTCACAACGACCACTTCCTGCTGCTCCAAGACCAGAATTCTCTCAAGGTAAGCATCATTTTTCATAGAAAATATTAGGTTGATGGGATGATTTTGGAACCCTAAGTTGTGTCTGATGCATAGTGTCATCAGCATACATCATAGACCCGAAAATATTCCAAATAATAATTCCAAACACAGCATGGACATATTAAAAAGCCACGTAGTCGCACGAATGAAGCCATAACAATTCTGTCTATAAAAATAACGTTGCAAAACATTTCTGATTTCTATGCTACAACTTATGACTTCTTTTCTCACTTTTTCTTTCTTATTTACTTATTTCAACCAAGATAATAATTTAGACGTGTCATTTGGCCTGCTTTTGTGAATTCATAGTTTTACATTTGTCTTGATGAAGTGTGATATTTTTCTGTAGAAATCTTTTCACAATGTTGTCTTTACTGTGCCTCCAATGATTGCAGACATAATTATGACCCTATTTTTGCTAAATTAAACAAATGCTTGATAACTTACTATCAAGCATTTAACTTACTACGCTACATTCTTTTTAAAAAAAATTTAATCTTGATATAAACACTTAACTGCCACTGATATCTTTTGCAACCCAGTAAAAATGAAGGAAAATTAACATCAACTAAGCATTGATGCAAGGACCAGCTGGACTTTCTTGTGCTTTGTGCCAATTACATTTTCACAAAACAATCCTTAAGTTTGTGATTAAATTGTTGAAATTAAGTAACATTGTGTAACATAGAAATAATAATAATCCTTCTTCTGGTATTATCCCAAAAAGGTTTTGATTTCAGTGTTTGTATTTCTGACCTTTTTTGTGCGAGATAAATGTTCAGTTCTTTACTCTCATCTGATATTCGATCATGTCAGTAAGGGCAACCTTTGAGCTGTAACAGTGTCCAGTTTAAACATTATCATGGCATAGATCAGGGGACTTCAGCAAGCTCAACTGCAAGTAAAAACATTGGCTCGTTGACAACTAGTTTTTTTTTCCTTCTCCCCCTATGTTTATATGGTTTCTTTTCATTTGTTTCTGGCTCCAGCTGTTTTTAATTCTTTGCTTTCTTCTATGGGAAGCAGATGCATAAGCTAAAAGAGATAAATACAAGTTTCTATAATATTCTTTTTAATTTGTCTTGTGTCAAATGCTGTATTCTCTCCATTCCCTTCTCTCTACGCTTTTTATGACAGATAGACTAAGTACCACCCTGAGCACGTAGGCTGTGAACTCTGAATTACCTCTGCTCGAGCCAACTGGCTATTCATTGTGTACAACAAAGTACACTGGGCCTCATTCAAATTCATTAGTTGGAACTCATTTCTTGGTATTTTTCCTTCTGAAAAAAGTCCTGAAAAGCCGGGGCTGTCATAGCTGAGGCAGAACTTCACAAACTAATATCTGTACGTTTTATCAGATCATTTTAGGGAATTGAATGAAAGAGTAAGGGGCTAAAAAGAATGTACTGACAAGCATCCTTTTCACTTTCTGCAGCATAAGTAGGTGAGAAGGACAACAGTTCTCCTGATTTGACAGACAGTGAGACAAACCAGATGGGCAGCAAGGATTTGTGTCTGATTTGGCCAGAAAAGGGGCAGAAGAACAAAAAAAAAACTGTGACTGAGGAGTGGGAAGTGAGGTGAGAGGTTGGGGTAGGGTAAATTTACAAATATCATCTTCGTTATTCACAGAGGGACAGGAGCCATGGACATTGTGTGAATAGGGCTTTTGTTAGGTGTCCCATTTACTATTCAGAGGAATCGTAATATTTGGCATCAAGAAGCAGCACCATGGCCTGCTGGTTAGAAAGTAAAATATGGTATTTATTTGGCCCACTAAAATGTGGGGTGATTTTACAGGTTTCTCCAGCTTATTTCTTCCCTTACAAACATTGAGGTCTGTCAGTTGCATGCTTTTTGAAAGAAGAACACAAACTTAACCGGAATACAAACTTTTTATGCAGCAACTCAGTTACTGAAATACCCACCATTATATTTAACTGCCTGGTTATCAGATTTCGGCTAATCCTCCGACAGAACAATGGATCCAGGACTGGCTTTGAACCTTTACAGTTTAGGAACTATATACTTTTGTTATAACTATCTCCCTGATGATTCAGCAGTTTTTTAACTGTCTCTATGTAGACTCAGTGCAGACTGTACAGAACACACAGTTTAGGTTTTCCATAAAAATTACCATTACCTTATTTCTTATTGTATTTGTTTTGACTTATAAGATTTTTTCAGGGCAATTGTATATTGTATTTATTTTGACTTATAAGATTTTTTCAGGGCAATGACTGAACGCAGAGACTTTCATACTTTTGTGCTTAAATAAATCCATTTCACCATCCACAAATGGTCATAATTAACGTTGGCCTCTTTATTAAGGAATAGTAAAAAACAGTGACATTTCATAACATAGAAATACTCCAAAAATGGGAATAGAGAGAGTTTGAGATTCACAACCAGATTTGACACCCTGAAAATGTAATCAGTTTTCATAATCAGTTTGATTAAATTTAATGTTATTCTCTCAAATAATAATAATATTTTTTCCAGCATTTCTCTGCTTTTGCTTCCTTGCCTCTCTTTGGCCTCACTTAACTGCTTGCTGAAGTGAACCATGGCTTGGCATTTTTGCAAACTCCTCCCTTCATACTCCTTCTCCCACTCCCTCTTGGCTCTCTCCCCCTCTTCTCTCCCTGATTCACATACACGTCTGATACTGTCTCTGGGCAGCAATAAACCATGTTAGCAGGCCCAGTTCTCAGAAAGGAGAGGCCTCCACTCGCTCTCCGCTCCCTGCACCTTACCAGGAAAACACTTTCAAAGAACCCATAGAGGGATTGGAAGGGGGTCGGCGGGGGGACTGAATAGTACAGAAAGAGAATAGGAAAAGATATGGAGAGGCTGCAGAGGGAGGGAGACAGGGCTAGAGTGTAAACCAAGGCCACATCCAACTGCAAATATAGGAACCAGCTGTATTTGGTTTCTCTTCTGACAGTCGTATCACTGCTTTGGTCTTCTTGACGAAATTCTGCATGTTGAACTTTGTAGAGCTATATATACAGTTATACTCTCTGAGGTTTTTCCCTATTTTCAGACCACATGACGTGTTCTAATACAATATCAAGCATTTAACAGGGAACAAAGTTGAGTACAGATTGTACAGATGTCTGCTAAAGGTGGGAGAAAAAAAATAAATTCACATTCTCTGTTGGTTTCTACACAATGATACCACCAACACATTTATAGTGACTGTGCCCCTTTTATTTTTACTTTTGACATCGTGGACTTTAAAATAGCTGCGAACAACTGTATTGTAAAGAAACAGGGTCTGATTCATCCCATGTTCTTAAAGTAGATGTTTTTGTGCTTTTGTCATTGAGCTTAAAATGCAAGCTTTCTGCTTGTAGGACCTGGGCTTGGCTTTAAACAAACTGGTTTGTACCAGGTATTGACGACGTCAGAAATGTAGTTCACTTTCAGAATAACTTGAAAAGAAACAAAATACTAAATTAAAAATAAAATACAGGGGGTCCTCGGTTTACGAGGTCCTCAACCTATGTAAACGTCATTTAGTCTAGTTCTGGGTGTCACACTTTGGTGTGGGAGCTACTATTCAAAACAGCCAGACTAAAGTAATCTACCTGTAATGAAAATGTTAAATATATATTTACTCATATAAGCTAAACATACTTTATATATGCATTGTATGTTGGGGTATTATGATCCCTACTACACACTATAGAATTATACTTGTATTTATTTGATTTTATTTCATGATCTACTAGCACTCCCTCTGTGATCTACTAGTAGATCCTAATTTAGTCATTGAGCACCCCTGGTCTATTTGCACTGATCACATCTCAACCAGCCTGCTGTCACATATTTTAAACCACGTCTCTGCATTAAAATCTCCCATAAGTGGAACCAGCCAGCCTGTGTAACCACATCCAACACTGCACGGGCAATCATCTGTGTTTGACAGTTAAAAGAGCTTGGTTTCTACACGTGAGCTTTGAAGCGTGTTGTGACAGAGGAGTAGATGCTGTTGCCTGTTCATGATGCATTGCCTGTCTACATAGTCGGGATGCAGTGAAGACATGTAGCCATGAAACCTGATCTGCAACCTACATAGTCTTACACACCATCCGTGAGGCCGAGACCAACTGGCCTTGTCACCACTGGGCACAGCAAGTGACACAGGCTGAAAGTAAACAGCAGGAGCTCGAAAATGCACAGTTAAACTTTTACCATATTGTCAAAGCAGGATTTTAACTTTATATATTAATGTACATTTTAGAGTGAACTCTGTTTCTCCAAACGTTTTAAGTAGGAGTTTAAGCTGGAGTTTTCCACGACAAAATGAATAAATCAAAAGTTGCATCGTAGCATAACTGCAGCTCAATAAAATATTTACATACATTCAGCACACATTCGCAGTGCCAGAGATAAAAACTGGAGAAATCTTCTGAAGTATTATCAGTGGAATCCTATGAATGAATTCATGTACTATCTCTGGGCTCAGAGCCTGCAAGATTCTTCCTGTCACACGACTCTGAAATGGAGAATGCTGCAGAGCCACCTACATATTACATAAGTACCCTGATGCGGGATACATGGAGCAAATATTTAGCTTAGCATAGTGTTCCCTTATCCACTCAACGTTTGCCTGACGGCTGCTTGCCTTAGAGACAGGATCTGCAACTTTCATCTGATGTTCACACACTGTCGGACTCATGCATGGAAGATACACGGCACGTGTTTTTTAATGTCTTCTCACTTTTATATATGTATTTTTTTAAACTCAGTAAAACTATTAAAGTAACCTCAGAGAATTTCTCCTAGTTTTTTGTAAAAAAAAAAGTCCATAATCTCTTCTCTCCTAATCTCTCTTTCCATCTTTCATCCTCCCATTGGCTGCATTACTTAACATGTCAAGTCATATGCTTGTCTCTTAGCATGTCATCTGCCAAGGAGTTGTCTCTAATTGAATAACGAGTTGCTGTTACTTTAAACCCCCACCCTTCCTCGGCCCACATCTCTCCAAAACTTTGACTTTGAGTCCCTAGAGCTCCTCTTACTTTGACTGAGAAAAAAAGACTCCCTTTTGGAATAAAACTTTAGTTTTTTCTCTTTTTTTCACCTCTTTTTTAGTAAAGAAAAGCATATAGCGAAATGACGTGTCTGCATTTCCAGGCGAAAGTATTTCGATAAACTTCTCCTTATCCTGGTTCCCTCTTCAGTTGGAATGTGCTCACTTTTGTGGCTGTATAAACATTATTTATTTTCCCTTTGATTCCCATGGCCTGCAGCCTGCCTAAACATAACTATATGTTTTTCCTGAGGTTTCCAGTTTGCTCTCTTGCGCTGAATAATTAATACCCTCTGCTTTGAAAAGCAACAACGTTTTACAGTATGCTGCATCTCTGTATGGATATTTAGTCTCATGGTGCAAGACTAAATAAGAAGGCAAAGCTGTTTTTCCAGTCAAACTTCTCCTTGGATTAGTTTAGTGTGGTTATAACTCTTTAATAATGCAAAGGATGTGTGCTAATGAATCTTGGCGTGGTTGAAACAAAGTGTAAATTTGTCATTTTTGTTCAGGTTAAAATATTTTGTCTTAAGCAACGGAACCTAATGTCATCTCCACACTCCACCCATTGGTCCTCTGACCGATTCCTAGTTCTAGACCAACAGGGAACAGCGCCAACAGTGGAGTCAACAGGACTGTTGAGCATTGGAACAGTCGTCGAGGGAGGGAGAGAGGACGAACATCAAATAAGAATAAAAAACAGATATTTTAGAAAACTAAGTGAGAAAAGGTTCTTTCAAGAACAAGAATGCAACAAGATTCAGAGACTTCTAGCAAGCAAGCTTAGTAGAGAGGGCCAGAGAGATCCAGGGAGACTGAGAACAAGAACTTGGGGATTGGGGGGGGGGGGGGGGGGGGCGGGACGGAATGTGCTGATGCGGCATTTCTTGTTTGAACTCCTCAAATTAATAATCAGCAGCGGTTTAGCCAAGCTCTGCCAGGAACTGGAGCCTGCTGCCAAAGCCCAGGCCAGGCCTTTCCCTGCTCCCAATCCTCACCCCCCCCCTCCATGAAGCTGTGCTCGGGACGAATAGGAGGCACTGGCTGCCTGTCCTGGTTGAGCCTGGCCTGGCACACTGCCACAGGGGCTTTTGCTTGTTCAGGAGTTTTGATTAAATCCTTTATTGTGCTTCACTCACGCAAAGAGCTAAGACGAAACAACTGAGTGGGACAGAATTGAGGGGAGGAGAGAATGTGAGAGGGGAGAAAAGAAAGGAGAAAAGAGAGGAGGGGAGGGAGGGAGAGGGAAATGAGATCTCTTTTCTCCCTCTACCTTCTGGTTTTTCTTTATTTTAAAAAGATGTTTGACTTAGTCTGTGTAGAGATGTAAACTAGATAAACTTTTTCCTGCTTTTCAACACCAGTAGGTTTTTTTTGTAACCCTTTCTTATTTCTCTTCACAAAGTCCATTTTATTTTCTATTTAAAATCCACCAAAGCATTCTTGCATTATTACATTTTTTCTTTCTTTCTTCGTTACATCTGTGTCTGTGTTATAAATCCCGTAATTTTAAATTCCTGCCTCTAAACAAGTGTTTTTCAGGAACTATTTAGTGTGCACAAGTTGCAGCAAACAACTGCTCCCAGTTAACTGTACCCTTGTCAGTTCTATGACCCCTTGTGCTTTTTGGTAGGCTTAGAGCCAGGAGTGAAACAGTGATTTGTGTTGTTATTTCAGCTGTTTCTGTCCTGGACCTGAGTGAGCAGTTCACACCACCAGAGACGGCTCCTCCAGCTCTGGTCAGCCTGATCCAAGCCATAGAGAAGAGAGGTATGTACACTATATCCATGTGGTAAATCAACTGTCTCAATGATACTCTCCTCGCCTCCCCCCGCCTAACGTCTATGTGTGACTGTCTCTCTCCCGCCATCTGGCTATTGCTCTCATGCCAGCAGTTGCACAAGTGTAGACGTATAGACATGAGAGTCCAGTCAGACGGCCTCACAGATGCACTGTGAGAGAGCACCAGTGAGATCATGCTGGCTCTCAGGATCTCGGTACTTAATATGAAAGTCATAATGTGGTTCTGCTTTTGAGGAAGCTACACTGGCCCTACTGTGGCCTGTTTGATTTATACAACTATCACTTTCAGCTTTCCTTTCTGGATCTCTTTGTATGGCTTTACATATATAATAAATATTCTTTACATCAACTGTGTTGATTGTTTTTCCACTTAAACTAACTATAACTAACAAATTATTACCTTAAAAAAACTCAACCATTTTGGGAGTGAGCATACCGATGTTTTTGTTTTACAAAACAAACTTTTGACCATTTTTGCTGTATAAAACTCATCATTTTGTCTTGTTTTACACTGGTCAAATCAAGAGGTCACATGACTTGATCTTAATATTTTTAATTTCGACAATTATGTAGTGAAGTTCAAGTGGATGTTGGCTAGAATTTTTTTCTGATTCACAGTAATCTTTGTCAGTAGTACTTGTAGAACTGGATGGTTCTTGTGTGACAACCTCACGTATACTTATATACTAATACACGCTGTATTATGGTCAGATTTCCATGCAGACAGTCTCACTCTTCTCACCTTTATCGTCCTGCCTTTTTTTTTTAATCTAAACCAAAAATCCACAGAAATTCTTTGTATTCTACTAAATGCTTGGAATTTGTGATAAGTGGCGTCAGGACGTCTGTCTCTGAATGTAAATACTTTAATGTAGCTGCAACACTGAATTATTACATAATACTGGATGCATGCCCACTGACTGGATGGTGTGGTTTTCACAACTATTTGAGAGACTGTCATGTGTGAAGGAATTGTCCCCATCTATGGAGGTTGTCTAGACCCTGTGTGTGTGTGTGTGTGTGCGTGGAAAGAAATGATTCATTCAGCTTAGCTGTTTTTTCTTTTCTCTTCTAGGTCTGGATTCCAAGACCTTGTACAGGACAGTAGGCTCCCCAGGAGCAGAAAGTCCAGGGTGCACCCTCAGCACAGGTGATTATTACCATTTTGTTTGTGGCTTTGGATCCACTGTGTCCTGCCTCTCACCCACACCATTATATTTCCAGTTTTTTGGAAAATGTACTGACAATTTATAATATTTAGTTGCTAGTTGACCTATAGTTTTTTCACTGACCTCTCTGTGCCTTGATGGAACATGTCACTTATCTGCTGAAAATGTGTCTAATTCATTTTTCCTGCCCAGTTTAGGCCATGTGGCCTAGAGTGAAATCAGAATTATCTTTATATTTCAACTAATCAAATTATGTAACTACACCAAAATGTTTCACATTTACAAATTATATTACTGAAATAATAACAATAACCTGTTGCCTAAATCTGTTGGGTTGCTTTTTTTTTTTTTTTGTCCAGAGAGCGAAGCTGGTCAAAAAGACATTGGTTACCTCTCTGAGTGTGTCCTGCACTACCTGAGAGAGCTTCCTTCACCTGTCATCCCTGCCTGTATCTACCCTCACCTTCAGACTGTTGCCACACTGCAGCAGCAGGGCCTACAACAGTCAGCAGGTACACTAGCCCTCACTTTAGAGGGGTATGCCTTGCACATGTTTGTTAATGTATTTTCCTCAAATTACCTTATAAAGGGTTATTAAACACCTAGAATTGATTTGAGGTCACTTCAGGCCCTGCATATAGATGTCAATATATAACGCAGGACTTCAGAAATTATTATTAATAATCATAATGAAGATAAGATAAAAGTTGGAGCTTATTTTTAGTTGTGTTAACTTGCTGGTTTAAATTTGTGCAGAACATTGCACACAAGGGAAGAAAAGGACGTATAAAGTCCAGTGAAACAGTCAAACAAGTTTGACACAAAAGAGCAATGTTCTTTGCTCAATATAAGTTAAAGAAAAGGCACATGGGCCTGACTAAGCCTTCTATGCTGCTGATCGAGGTCAGTCACATGTCAGCTCTGAGATAATAGTGTTAAGTGTCAGAGGAGGAGGATGAGCTCACTGAGGCATGTTAGAAATGCTTCAGCTGATTCTCCTGTGTATAAAGAATGACACAATTCAGACCAACGCCACTTCTATTTGCAGCGACAGTCGATGTTCCACATTAAAATTATATCATGATTAATTACTCAGTCTTTGTCAAAAAGGTCAAATATGGCGTCTTTACTAAAGTATAAAACAAATTACAAGTGCAGCATCAACACGTTTAGCATATTGCAAAATAATTTTGTCATCCATTAGTATTAAAGTACCATAGTGCCTTGTGTTTTTATTTTCTTTAACAGCTTATAGCTCTATTGTCCACATTGTTTTTGAATTTGTGTTTAATGTGCTTTTTGTGGTGCTTTGCTGTAACCACGTGGGAATTTGACTTGATTTCACGTGGTCAGAGATTGTCAGAGGTCAGGATGTGGCCAGCAGGTCTGTATTGGTACCTCTTCATGTTCATGTTTAAATCACTGTTCCAGAAGGAGCTGTAGCTGCGAGCCATGACAGAGAGGTCAGCCTCGTCCTCGAGCGCTCCACCAACATCCCTCTCCACAACCGTCTCACCCTGCAGTACCTCCTCACACACCTGGCCAAGGTCACGCAGGCCAACAATGGTCTAGACTCACACACACTGGGAAACATATTTGGACCACTGATCATACGGACTAGCCCCACATCATCTGGGTAAATAACTAACCAATCAACATGAATTACGTGCATTGTACACTTATCTAATTATGTGTTTGATCATCAGCTCATCATTTGATGAGGAGTTTCCTGCTCTTGTGATGGAGAGGTTGTTAATAGAAAGAACAACGGAGCAGAACCTCACACCTCCAGGTGCTTTAGTCAAAAAGAAATAACTATTTTTTGCGGCTTTTTCTTGTGGATGGATTGAAATCAGCGTCATTTTTGTGTATGTTCTTCAAGATCTTCCTGCCAAGCCATCCAAGTCAAAAATGACACCATCTGCCATGACAGACACAAGCGGCATGCTGACCGAGGCTGAGTGGTACTGGGGAGAAATCTCCAGGTAAAACAGAAGAATAACAAAGATTAATACAACATTCTATAAGTGTAACAGGTTGCCTTTGATGAAATGGTCACTTTTAGGTAAATATTATTTTGTGGTTGGAGTTTAACAACGTTACCTGTATGTGTCTGCAGAGAGGAGGTGAACGAGAAGATGAAAGACACTCCGGATGGCACCTTCCTGGTCCGGGATGCTTCCAGTAAACTAGAGGGCGAGTACACACTCACCCTGAGGTAAGGCAGGCCCTCAAACCTTAATATTATCCTTTTTACTGACATAGTCTCTCCTGCTGGTGTTTGTGCAGCTTGCTTTGCTGCATTTTCTCATTTAGCGTCTGTCTCCCCCTACAGGAAAGGAGGAAACAACAAGCTCATAAAGATTTACCACAGAGATGGGAGGTACGGTTTCTCTGAGCCTCTCACATTTCTGTCTGTAGTGGAGCTAATCAATCACTACCGGCATGAGTCCCTGGCCCAATACAACGCCAAACTGGACACCAAGCTTTTTTACCCTGTCTCCAAATACCAGCAGGTTAGTGAAGCTGCCAATACTTTGCACTGCCTATTTATCGTGGTGTGATTCTATTCTAAATATTACCTCATGAAGTGCAATGCTTTTTAATTTGATTGTATTTATCAAGTAGGTAATGTCTCTTTTATCTGCCTTGACATTTCAATCTCAGCTGGTGAAAGAGAACAGCATAGAGGAAGTGGGAGAAGCTCTGAAGGTTTATCATGAGCAGTATCAGGAGAAGAGCCGGGAGTACGACTGCCTGTATGAGGAATACACCCGCACTTCTCAGGTATGTGCTCAGTAAATATGATTCATTAATATGAATGCATACCAACTGTGAGTTTACCTCAGTTAAAGAGTGTATTTTAATGAAAACAACAGATATGGCCCAATTGAAAATCAACATTGTTCTCCCTCTTACTGTGTTGACAGGAGCTGCAGATGAAACGTACGGCCATTGAGGCATTCAATGAGACCATCAAGATTTTTGAGGAGCAGTTTGAGACTCAGGAGCGCTTCAGCCGAGAATCGCTGGAGCAGTTTGAGCGTGAAGGCAACGAGAAGGAGATCCAAAAGTACATTTATTTTAATTGGCTGCAATGCTCAGTGATGATAGTTTTATGCAGCTGCAGAATCAAACGGCACAAATGTAATTTGCAAGAAATGTATCTTGTCGTACTTGGAAAGAATTTTTACCTTACACAAATGTGTTTTATTTCCTTAAATCAGGATTCAGAGCAATTCAGAGCGCTTGAAGTCCCGCGTGAAGGAAATCCACGACAGCAAGCGCAAACTGGAGCAGGATCTGCGACACCAGGTCTCCGACAACAGAGAGATTGACAAGAAGATGAACAGCCTCAAGCCAGATCTCATGCAGCTCCGCAAGATGAGAGACCAGTATTTGATGTGAGTGACACAAATCCAAATTGCTCTTAAACACAGAAAAACAATGTGTTTTAGTTCAGTAGTACATGTTTATTGTTCCTCTCTCTGCAGATGGCTGACGCAGAAGGGGACAAGACAGAAGAAGATCAACGAGTGGCTGGGCATAAAGAACGATGCTGATGAGTAAGTGTTTGAAATGAAGCAAACTCACAGGGATGACTGTGATATCAGTTTTCATTCTCATTTCTTCCTTTGACAGCTCCTACTCACTTGAGGACGACGAGGGCTCGCCCCACCACGATGAGTGCACCTGGTACGTTGGTGACATCAAACGATCTCAGGCCGAAGACATGCTTCGTGGTAAATGTGACGGAACCTTCCTGATTCGTGAGAGCCAATCACAGAAGGGATCCTACGCCTGTTCTGTAGTGTAGGTGTTTTTTTAAAAAAAAATATTTTCTTCATACGTTTGAAGGTGTTTTGGAAAGAGATTGTGACACAACACTCAATGGGGGTTAAATCAAACCAAATGTTTCAAACCAAATGTATTTATATTTTCATAACACTTATGTAACAATTTGTGGCATTGTGACTTAAAATAGATTTACAATGATTTTGATGACGTCTTTCTTCTTTTCAGTGTGGACGGTTACACCAAACATTGTGTGGTCTACAAGACGGCCACGGGTTACGGATTCGCTGAGCCCTACAACCTCTATTCCTCCCTCAAAGACCTGGTGCTCCACTACAAAAATGTCTCTTTGGTCCAACACAACGACCACCTGAATGTAAATTTAGCCTACCCTGTCCTGGCCTGCTCTCAGAACCAGAACCAACACCCAAGATGAATTACCCACTTGCAGTGTTAGATGCCAACAGGGTGGCCGTACTAAATGTTCGAGCAGATGCAGCGAAACAAACCTATCGACGTCTGAGCGTTGCCCGTTAGTGTGTTCACAGAGGCAAAAAGACTCAAAAGCTACAATTTAAAATTCACATGTTTTGACTGGAGTCTGGTGTAATTTTTTTTGTAACACACTGACTCCAGTCCAGCAGAGGGCACTCCTTGCTTGCTAACGGCATGGCTTTAAAACAAGCACACTGCTGGCAGTAACAGTTAGTACTGTACAGTTAGCTCGGCTGATGCAGCTCTACCTTGACCAGAGTGATGCATTAGCCAGTCATGACTGTACAGAGAAAAGTGTGAGAAATACATTTGGTACAGAGAAAAGACTAAAAGGAAGAGCAAATAAGCACACACTTTCATTTTAGAGATCATTAAGTGGAGGAGGGAACCCTAGATGGGGTGGGTTGGTGGGGGGGAGGCACTTTTTTTCTTTTGTGCCTTGAACACATGATGTGTGCCCACAGACAAAGGTCTTATCTGTCATCGCAAGACTGCCTGCAAACTTTGTAGACAAAAGCCTGAGCTGTCATCCACGTAAAACTGATTGGCTAAAGCCGGCCGCACGCATCACACCTGCAGAAGGCGGAGGACCCGTGGACCAGACGGCAGGTGTAGTCACTGGAAGGTGTGGCCGATGTTTCAGTTGGCTTTTTAAAATGGATTTATTCAGATGAAAGCTTGTTTAAAGTGCCATAGCAATAGCTTTGAACGACCACAAGCCTGTGTTTCCAGAACGGGGGGGGGGGGGGGGGGGGAGGAAGAAGGAAGGAGATCATGGTCTCCTGTTGACAAAGACAAAGCTACAGCTTTAAAAAAAGAAATTTTACACAAATGTGCGTTTTCTTTTTCTTTTTTTTCTTTTTTTTGAAACGCTCTTTATTTCCAAATGTTTTGGCTCGATGTGCTCTCTTTCTCAGCACAGCCTCTTTCTGGATTGACGAGGTACAGCTCTCGATAATTAAAGCCACATGTGATGGTGCATGCTAGATCTTTTTTGGTGTATTGTGAATATGGACGTACTTTTACTCACAATACACTAGCAGTACTTTGGTAAATGCAGTTAAATCATGTTTCCCCACATGGAAATTTAGGAAAGTCCCATGCGTTAAACGTGTCTTTGTTTCCTATCGTTCCTTTCTTCTGAATCTTCTTCCTTCTTTTTTTTTCATCTTGGTAAATACTGTAGCACCTGTAGCCATTGACTTAACTGTTAGTTCTCCTCACGAGTGTCTCTGTTGTGATTGATGAAGACACTCGCGGAGCATGAATCTATGTAATTATTATTGTATCTTCAGTACTGTATTTGCTTTAAGACTAGACTGACTTAGCGGTACAGTGTCCTTGCAGATGTTTATTTTTATGTTGTGTTTTTTTTTTTTTTACTCATGGTACTTCTTCCTTTCTAATGCTTGACTGTTCATTTCATCACGAGCTCGACTCACGGAGTTGTAGAATATTGATGTACGTAAATATTTTGGAAAGAGAGACAGAGCGGTATGAAAACTCGTGTACACTTCCGTCACACATACATTCACAGTATGTGGATTTCTTTTCTTTTTTTTTTTCGTTTTGTTTTGATTAACCGCTGTGTCTCCGTACGTTCTCTGCTTCTAGATTCTGAATAAGGATGCACAGTATCCAGCTAATGTGAGCCAAATGAAGGAATGAAGTGTTTTCCTGTAGCAAGATAGAAAAGAAAAGAATCAGACCTTTATTCATTCAGTAGCCTGGCCTGGGTGGTCTGACGTTCTGTTGTGGTTCACATGAATAAGTCCTTCATTTGGATAGCCTTTTTTTGTATTTGTTGGTTGACAGTTGTGCTTTTTTAGTAGAGTATGTACAGTGAGATGTGTGGTGACTCTAGTGGCGCTACGGACACCACGCTGATCGATGTGTTGTAGATATACAGTTCTCACATCATTTTATTTGATGAAATGACCACACAGTACCACTTCTGTTTGCAACCCATTTGTATGAAAGTGCTGATGAATCAAGTGTGGCTTCGTAGACTGATTCATCATTGATTTGTTGCGATGACTTTGTTAGTTAGTTGGATCCAAACTCCAATTTCAAATCTGTTGTTTTAAAATCCAGTTAAAACTGAATTAATCCACAGTGAAACAAAGAAATTACATTCATTTATGTCAACAAACATCAAAATCATAATATTTATAATAATATTATTAAGTCCCACAGCACACTCCAAAAAGTCAATACAAGAGAGTCCATTCTATTCTATTAGCAGTGGGGCTTCAGAATACAGTACTGCCAAAGGTCTGAAGGTCACACACATTCAGCAGCAGTTTCAACCTGTGGCTTTTTCCACACTGATTCCTTCTGATATTCTAATAGTTTTCACAGCACTGTTAAGAGTACGTGGTGACAGGCTGACGGTCTTTGTTCGCTAACATGTAGAAATGTTGTTTTCAAATGGACTTACAGTGACAGTTGATGGTCCCACCAGTTACTTTGTTAACTGAAAACATGCTATTTTTTTATTATTGGTACAGTAAGTGTTTAAGTCAATTACCAAACTACAGGATATTGGATTTTGAATGACTTTTTGGAAACGGTATTTTTACATAAAGTTGGCTTGTGTTGCCAAAAAAATAGTATTTTTATAGAAAGACATAGTAGTTGAGGGCAATAGAACGTTTAGACAAAAATATGCACTGCTTTAAAAGTTACATTGGTTTATTTTTATTGCCTAGGGTTGAAAAGTTGATTCGAATTTTTACCTGCTTTTGTCATAGTGGTCTATTATTAGCCAATGCTAAACTCCATTTAACCCATTAGGTGATTCAGGTAACAGCAGTTTAGCACAACAGACCAGTCTTTTCTTCAAATATAATGTATTTCAGCATGAAAACTTTTAACACTTTTTTTTTATTTCTGTCAGGACAAATCAATCGTACTGTACTTTGCACAAAATAGAAATCCCTAGAATTTGATTCCGACGCTTTTGGTCAGAGGGCTATAAAGTGAGAACGGTTACACAGATTAGAAGTGCCTTTGGTCATTATGATGAGCTTGATAGATTTAAAAAAAAAAAAATCTTCTCCTTATTGTCACTGGAGCAACAGCTCCGCTAGATGGTGCCATCACCACACATGCTGCATCTCGTGGTTCACGTGTATCTTTTTTTTCTGTCTAAAACATAACGTATTCGGCAGATGGTCAGAGATGTGTGTTGGGGTGTGTTGTTGGCAGGGGGAGGGGTCAGTTTTCAGTTGTGCCTCTCTGTTACATCTGTGTCACTGTTACACTTCCCTTTATTTATTCAGTCAGACTCTCCAGTGGCTGAGCTCGCTTTCACTCATTCGTTTTCTTCTGTTTTTTTGTTTTGCTCGATCAAACTCAGATAAGACAGAAATGTGAAGTGTACATATCCCAGGCTAAGTTGTTCAGAGGCTTCACGGATAAGCTGTCAAGGTGACACTTGGTAAACATTTCCCCCCCGAGTTTAGATTCACAGCCTGCTCACACATCCAGTTTGTTGGACCAACATTTTTAAAGACTGCACTTTGTTCCCGTTTCGCACGCTGAGTGCCAGCGGTGCAACCTTCAGTAACCACAAACACACAGATGTCAGTGAAGCTCAGTTATTGTGGTGTTTTAGTCACTAGTCCCAGGTCTGTTTCCACACACTTTAATCATGAGCGACTTTCCTTTTCTCCTTCACACCCTATGATGATGTATAAGCTGTCGTTGTGTGCAGTCATGTGATTGTGATGTTTTTGTATAAACTCTTATGCAATTTTGCGTCTGCTTGGCAAAACTGGACAACTGAACAAGATGTATAAACATGAATTTTTCTGAACTGCCCCCCTACTTCAAATTTGGTCGCAAAGACGACAGCAGAAATCTTGCAGTTTTAAGGTGAGATGTCACTTTATTAGAGGAAAGGCTTCTTTATTAATTATCTTTGTTGTGACATCTCAGACTGGTGGCCTGCAGATTTATTTCCACCTCCCTATTTAACTTGTCTTATTTGTATTGTTCTTGTGACTACGCCACATATATAATCGCAGTACAACTGTTAGCTAGGGTGTAGGTTAAGGCTAAAGCCAATACAAAGTGACATTTTACTCAGTTGAACTTTAGAAATGCTGCTGTTGTGCGCATTTGAACTTTAGAAATGCTGCTGTTGTGCTAATCCCACATGTACAGATCAGTCTATGGGGGTCCTCGGTTTATGACGTCCTCTACTTACAGTGTTTTGTAGTTACATCACCATGCCCCTTAACTGTACATCATCATACAGCGCCATACGCAAAGATGGCTTTGTTTACATTCACCGGTTGTTTGCCATATAATGGATTGTGCTTCATGTGCTGTTTTTCGTTTGTGTTGTCTTTCTAAGCGTGAGACAGACCCTTCCGATGTTTTATCTCCCCGATTATGATGTTACCACTGTGCTAGCCTTGGCGAGTGACATAGGTACTTAAAATCCATTTACGTTGCGCTGTAAGAACAGAACTCCGATGTAAATCAAGGACCCCCGTATTGGTATCCTAAGATATTTGCACAATACTGTAGTAAAATTAGTTTGTTTACTATAGCTGTGTGATTTCACGAGGCTATAAAAAATGTTTGAAAAGTTATTTTTGATCATTTTTTTTTCGCCCATGTTTGAATTGGGATGTGCAGCAGAATCACTCATGCCATACATCACTTGTTATGTTGAACACTTTTTTTTGCTCTGTGGTGTTTATCTGCCATATTTGCCATGGGCATCACGTTGAAATGCTAGAATCAATGCAACTTAAGTAGTGACGAAACCTGGTCCTGCAGTGAAATGGGCTCAAAACAGGCAGAAAATGAAAAGACTTTCTCTCTTTGACTCTGATGCTGATTTTAATGTGATAATGTGTCAGTCAAAGCTGTCATTTTGCTTATATCCTACATATATGCATTTGTGTCAGAGCTTCTTAAAACAAAAGAACATTTTTCTATATAGTCCTTCGAGGAAATGACATATTTTTTCACACAGCTTTGGTACACTGTAAATGATATATCTTGAGATGGCTTCATGTACACAAGCACATCTTACACTGACGTCGAGACAAAAAGACAAACGATATATTAGTTGTCTGTTGAGGTTTGAAGAACGAGATACATACTAGAGAATAAATATTTTGAGATATATATTCTTAGATATCTATATTTTTGGAATATGTTTAAAAACAAAAAAACTGGTTCAGATCGTGCTTGAAACAAATCGCAGAGAGAGGTTTTTCGTCGTGAACGCGATCTTTTAGACTGCTCCACGGGTGCTTTGTATTCGAGCAGTTATTGAAACGCAGGCATTTTCACTAATCAGCTGCAGCAGCGAGCGCGCGGTCGTGATCAGCAACAGACATATGATCCACTCACATGTTAAGTTGTCCAGCATGAATATCAGGATGAAGCAAGCTCCTGTACATGTGTTAAAATTTACAGAGCTGAGTCTATATGTAAAATGCAGCTGTAGCTGCTTTGCATTTATTATATAGTATGGAGCTATGTTTTTTTTTTTCTTCCTTGAAAGTGAGAATCTTTTCTGTTGGTTTTTGTGATTAGAGGCAGTGTTATTAATTAAAAAGAAAAAGTCACAAAAGACTGACGATGTTGCAGAGGTACACCTGAGTTCCTGTTGAAGTGAACACCAGATGTTCGTACTGTTTCGTCTGTGGTTTATATGGTCACTTAAAGTTAAAAGTAATAATCTTTAAAACTGACATGAATTAAAAAAAAAAAAAAAGAATTTCACAATTTTATTGCAGGTTTTCTCCGGAACAATTGTGGCATTGGGCAGTGTTCTTTTATGGTGCATAAATTTTGGAGTATAAATATTATTTGGCTTTTTAAAAAAGCTAATAGACTTGTCTGTCAAAGTGTTTGGTTATTTCTCTGTTTGTTTATGTGTTGGTCTGTTTGTTTTTTGTCTGTCAGTGATAACCTTACAGAGCCTATAAAGAGAAAATAAGCTAGCTTGAATATTTTTTTTCCTCCATGCTGAAAAAAAAATTACAAATGTTTACAGTATGTAATTAACCAAATGGTAAATAAGCATTTGAAAATCAGCCTCTGTGACCTTCAAAGTGGCAGAGTCCGGCTGATTTATATTTCTTTATTTCCGCTCTTATTTTAAACTTGAAAATGTTATGAATGCTTTTTTTCCCCTTTTGTTTGTTTGTTTGTTTTTTGCTCCTGTTTCCTCCTTTTTAACAAATTTTGATTTGTAACAACAGTGCTCCCTCACTTGTTAAAAACATTCTGTAGCAGCTGTTAGTCTCCAATATTGTCATTTCTAGCTGTTTGCTAGTGATGTAAGCATCATTACTATTGTTAACTAATTAACTACTGAGTGATTAACTAAAAATGTAGTGTAGTCAAACATTTTTAACATGTAAATTACTGACTTAGCCCTGTCTGTGGACTGAAATACCACTTGCACCTATTGATGTTTGTCTTATACTGTGGTGGGTCAAAATGTTCAAAGACGGATGCTAACATTTCAGATGTCTGATTTTTGACATGTTCGTCAGATGTCTGAATCTGATTTGACATGTGGATTTTAGCTTCTTATTTGATTTGACATGTGGATTTTAGCTTCTTTTTTTTGTCCAGTGATCGGTGTTGTATTTAAGTTAAACAGGTTTTTCAACCCACTCCCCGTAAACGCAAACATGAAAATGTTAAGCAAACCTGTATTGAAATTTGTTAAATCTACTTGAAGATCCACCGATTTTGATCTATTGCCATGCATTTTTTTTTTTCTCCTGAAACTGTTAAAAACATTTAAAAGGAACTTGTTAACGCTCCATAGACCTGTGTCCCACAGCTGGTGCTAAAGACATTCTATGGAAATGCTGTTTTTAGGCTTTTTATTAAGTGTATTTTTTAATATTTGTCTTAGAACGTTTTGACTATGACCTGTCAATCAAATGGTAAATACAACAGCGACAGGTGCAAGTCTCACTACCTTAAGAATTTCTTTCCAACAGTAAAAATACACTAGATGAGCTCTTCACAGCAGTGTGTAACTGAATCCTGAGGGGGCGCTGTTGTTTCAGCCTTTTAGTTGTGTGCCCACTCTCCTATGCACAAAAAACATGGTTCTTCTCTGTTCTTGTGATATTCTTCCTCTGTTTTGTCAACATTTTCTTCCTTGAAACTTCCTGTTCTCCAGAAGTTACTCTTTCATCTGTACTGTTCCTCCTTTATGCTGATGCAATGATTTTAAAAAGACAATAAAATACCTTAAATGGAGCACCTTCTCTCCGGTGTTTTCTCCATGACTTTGTTACTTCGAGCTAATCATCACCAAGTCATGCTGAGAGTCACATTTTAGTTTTTCACTTTAGTAAAGAGTTTATACTGTGTATCCATATTTTACCTTTGGACCAGTGATCCTATCTGATCAACACTAGCCATACTTGATGAAACTGTTATTCACCTGGAGTTTCACCAATCACCCTCCAAAACATCACTCCTTATGCAAAATATGTTTTATTTGAAAATGTGTGTATGAACTGTCGTGGTGCAAACAGCATATTTACATATATAAAAATAACCTGCAGGGCATTTGGTTCTGGTTATATTCTGACTCAGGTCAGAGAACGCACCATTAGTTGTAGCTCACAAACTTGCCTCTAATTGAACATCACTCCTCTGTTTTACCAGAGTAATCCACCTTTTTATTCTCATTCAAATATGTTTCTTTGGAACTGGAAGAACGTGAAATTGTTTTGTTCAACGGTGTGTGGCCTGAAACTGAAACAGTTAAACAGACAGGAATCAGTAAATCACTGTCAAGTTGTGTCCTGCTGGCTAAGTTCTCTTCTCTGTCCTTTTTTTTTTTACTTTTAACTTAGCTTTTTGTAAGAAAACTTTGAAAAGGTTAAGTGAAGCTTGTCATGTAAATGTAGCATACCTTCGTTGCAAAAATCATGTGGTATTTCTGAGGCCTTTTTCAGAACGAGGAAGTGATGGTGAGCAATTCCGACATGATCAGAAAGATAATAGCACAACACCAGGAAGAATTTCTTAATATCATGAAACTGCAGTGTTGTTCCTCATTTTTTCTGTCCATTGTTTTCCTTCTTTCTTCCTCTGCTTTCTTTCTTTCTTATTGTGCTGAGTAAATCTTGAAAATAATAAAAAGTTGACTAATAAATAGTATGACTGGTTTTCACAACAGACGCCAGTAAAAACACATTGATTCCTGTAAAACATCGGTTTTACACATAATACTGCTGCACTTACACTGGAGAATAGCTTCAGGACACATTTTCTTTCAAGGTATTAAAATAATTACGTTAAAAGAATTATAGAATTTGTCACCTTTGTGTGTGGTCACTATACTATAGAGTATATAAATATATATTTATAGAGAATACTCTATGTATTTAAACAATCCACGCCAGAAGTTTCATTTAGTCAAAAACACTTGTGCTTAGCTACTAAATAATGCTAAACTTTACCAGAGGACTCATAAAGAGTTTTACGTTCGTCCATGTACTACTCAGATACAAGTGACGATGCCTTGGTCATGTGACTAACAACCAATGAGAAAGCAGGAGTCCTCCCACGAGGAAGCGACGGAGCTGTATTTAAAAGTGCAGTCTGTGGTAGCTCGCTGGTTAGTGAGGTGTAAAAATGAAGTTTGTTCCGCTGCTGCTTGTAGCTGTTTGGTTGAGCTGTCACAGCTGCAGCTCCACTTGGTCTTCTCCGTCATGTTCTTCTCCTCCTTCACGGTGGTGCTCCTCCCTGGACTCCGCTATTCGCTGTGGGGTAAGATATAAACACAGGTGGCAGATAACGTTTGTTGTCTTTTTACGACACTACATTGACGTCCCTGAACCGATTATCTTACGTCATTCGACGGCAAAAAACACAGTGTATTAATTATTTATTAACTGCAGCCATTGCTGCCGTTGTCCGTCCGAAATCAATGCGCACGGCTGTTTGCTGAGTTTGTATAAACAGTAGGGGCGCTATTACTAACGCTTTACGATGCTGTGGTGTGTTTTGGCTGAATACGTTTTAATTCTTTGTATAATGCTTTTTCGTTTTTGTTTATATATACATGGATAATTTATCTGTGTTTCTTTTTCGGCTATTTGGCCCAAACTTAATATGTTTTGAAACAAACAACAAATTTGATCCCATTTCGATATTTTTGTTTAAACACCTTGGTCTTAGGGTAGTCTGCCGTGACAGTAGTATTTCAGTTCTAAACAAAAGGCGACTTCAAAGACTGATCAACTAGTTTATAAAGTGTCTACAGTGGAGATTTTTGTATTTTGTTCTTGTGAACGGGTGCAACAAAATTCAGTTTTGTTATGAATGAAATGCAATTTATTTGTGTCCTAAATACAGTATGTCACATCTTACTTGCACAAATAGGAAGTGACGTAGTGTATTTGCACACAGCACCTCCCTGTTGAAAAGAAAGGATTCCACTACAGCACATTATAGCACACAGTCTAATCAGGGTGACCCTAATCAGACCTAAGTTTACTTAAGCTCTCTTGTGCAGGTTGTGAAGCAGTGCCTTGAGTCCAACTTCACTAAGTCCCGTATGACCGATGACACCGTAAAGGTTGAACTCTACTATGAGAGTCTGTGCGGTGGCTGCAGGGGTTTCCTCGCCGGTATGCTCTACCCCACCTTGGTTATGCTGCAGGACATCATGACTGTCACTCTTGTGCCCTTTGGAAACGCTGTGGTAAGCAGTGAACTTGGATGTTGGATGTATATGTTTTTGTGTTTACGACTTCAAACGTTTTGCAACCAAAAATTCCCAGGAAAAGCCTGATGGAGCCAAGTACATTTTTGAGTGTCAGCATGGAGAAGAGGAATGTCTGGGCAACATGATCGAGGTGAGGGCAAATCAGTGAAGAAACACTATGCAATGTTCATTTTTTGTTCATTTTGTTATCGTGGCGCTTTGGCCCAGAGGCAATGTCTCTGTCATTGGGGTGGAACCCCAGGGGTAGGGCAGTTGGTACCTTCCAGTGGACTCACCACCCGCAGGAAGGTTCAGGGGGGTTGGTACGGTGCAATGTGATTTGGGTGGTGACTGCTGCCCCCGTGACCTGGTAACGGATAAGTGGATGAAAATGAATGGATGGATGGATATTTTGTTATTGTATTGTATTGAAATGCATTTGTTTTGTTTCTGGTAAAACTGTTACTGTTAGCTGTAGATAACTTGGCTAATTTTATTAACCTGCATTAGCAAAATCTTTTTTGACTTTGGGTTTTTGTGTAACTTTGTTATACATTTTGTTATCGTCTTTCTGGTTAGCTGAATAAATTATATTTGAACTAACTTGAAAGGCCCGTAGTCTAATACTTTCCTTTACTTTACTTTCCTACCATTCAGGCTTGTTTATTGAACATGTCACCTTCAGCGATCGACATTATCTTCTGTATGGAATCTTCAAGTGATGTCATCAAATCAGCAGAGAGTGTAAGTGTATGTATAAGCATGTGTTCATGTTAGCATATGTATTCATTCAACTGTTGTTTGAATTAGAACTTCTTTTTTTTCTTTTTTTTTTTGCCGTTCTTATTCGATGTAGTGTTTCAACATCTATGAAACTGAATTGAGCTGGGGTAAAATCATGAGCTGTGTGAACGGAGATGCAGGAAACCATCTGATGCATCTGAATGCAGTGAAGACCAATGCGTTAGACCCACCTCACGAATATGTGCCCTGGATCACCATAAATGGGGTCAGACTCGATTGAAGCGCTTGTTCAAACAAAAATAATATTTTAATTAATCAGTACAGTTGAAAACAAACACAGTTTTCTTCATTTGCAGGAGCACACAGAAGAACTGCAGGACAAAGCCATGGCTTCTCTCTTCACTTTGGTCTGCAACATGTACAAGGTTGTTTTAACCCTTTTAACTGTTTTCACTTTTGTATATAAAGTTTGATTTTATATAACCAGTGTTTTTTCTATATCAAGGGACCTAAACCTGGTGTCTGTGGAGGAGACAAGAGACATTATAAAAGCTACTGCCACAGAGAGTAGGATGATCAGCATGGGCTGAATGATATATGATGTAATCTGCTTGGTTCCAGATGTGGCTCCTGAAAAAGCAACACTTAGGAACATTATATCACTTAAATTGTTTTAATCAGGTTTTATACACTGTTGATCATTATATTTGAACTTTTTTTGCTTTTAAATCTACTGAATATTATACGGAATAAATAAAATTCTGAAATCCTCACAGATTTATCTTATCTCTCTCATATTTTGGCTTAACAGTTGGACTCTTGTAAAATGTCTTTAAAAATTGAACTGTATCAGGAGTGATAATTTCAAAGACTCATTAGGACCAGTATATCGATAATGAAATACAATAGAACTTGTTTCAAATTGAGTTTAAATGTGGAACACGGTAAATTTTCCACTTTACACAGTAAGTGTCAGTGATGTTTTTAAACTATCCATCCAGCCAAACCGAACCGCCCTAACTGGGATTTGCTCTTGCCCAGGAGGTCACCAATGACAGACATTGCCTCTGGGACATTTGTTTTTTTTAATATTTTACTCTAATACGTACTAATAAGTACATTCAGTTATGTTCTTGTCTTCCTACTTGCTGAAGTTGCACGGTCTTTCATTATGACCTGACAAAAGCAGGTGTAACACTGGTTAAACAGGTTAACCACTGATCAAGATAAGGTTAGGATCAGGGGGAGTGGTAGTCATAGATGAATAACTTAAAATATAATAAAATAAACCAAATAAAAAGAAATTAATTTTATTACAAATAAGCAAATATATATATCGATAAAGCTATAAGTAGGAACAGAAATACGTATTGATTCATCACAACTCGTTTTAAGTTGGAAGCTAAACCAAAATGAACAATTTAAAATATTTATACAGTGAATAAATCAAAGGAACACTTTATCAACGTGGCAGCCATTTTACTTAAAATCTCCTTTTAATATATTGTGCGTTAACATTCTATTGTCTGAAAAAAGTCGATAATACTTGGCAAACTTGGTTTCATTTAAATCAATGATTTAA